CACACCACTAAGGTGTTAATTTCACTTCTGACACTATATATACAATTTACATTTTCAGGTACTGAGCATTTAACTAAAATAATGTTAAGAAAGTATTTAGAAAACTTTATAATTTTTGAAATACTTCAATCTGTATTATTGAAAATATTCAAGAAAAAACATTTGGTACATTAAGTTTACATTTCTTATTGTACATGCTACTATTTATGAATTTTATTTTCTAAAGATTTTTTCACCTACACATTTATGTTTCAGCTCAAACAACTGTAATGTTTGTGCTCAACACTTATGAAACAACAGGTTACACTGTTTTCCTACAAGTGACATGAGTCTAGCCTTTACTTATATCTCTTTCCATAAAATTCACTGCTTGCCAAATATGTCAGTGTCAAAACTGAAACATTCTAACACTGTCATTAATGAAAACAAGCATGCTGTGTCTTCAAATAATGCTTCATAAGCTAGTAATGAAAATCAATTGCCTACTGGTTGTATGCTCAGTTATACAACACTCATGAATGACTTTGTTATATACGTGTGTGCAGCATCTCACTCATATATTGCCATATACATATATTTCCACTTTTACACATCATCATATACACTAGCAGCTGTTAGTAGACCACCTAAGGTTTGTGCATCATTATCATAACATCCAATAATGACTACATCCCTACACTATACATCAGTAATCATGGTTTGGAAATGTGCTACCCTTTGAGTAGTGAAACTCATCAGTGTTTTATAAGCATTACAAAATAACTAATTATTGGTAGAATTTTGCTAAACTTACTTTTCCGCTAAAATTATTTTTGCAAGAATTAATATTTGCCCTGTCACTACCTTGTATATCAATACAAGCTTAAACTAACCTTGTCTAGCTAAATAAAATTATCCACAGTAAATGTGCATTTACTGTCTGAGAAAGCCACCAAACATGGACTGTTGGAACACTGTGTCACCATACTTAAGTCAGTGCTTCAGCTGACATCACAGAAAAGTAAATACAGGAAAATTCAAAGAAATAAGAAAGTATTCCACTTATATTCACAGTACACAATTTACTTCCTGCTCTGGTATATAACACAACCTCTTTCCTCCACATGAAGGAGTTATACATCCATATGTACTGGTGAGAGTCACTTAAAAACCCCACAGCCTTTTCTGGAGTACTGACACTACTTGGTTAAGTGTGACCGATTCACAAAAATTATTAGACTGTCATTTCACCATTGAAAATAATTCAAAAGGTCATGAAGTAAGGATTGTAAATTCTTTTCAGTTATTGGTTTCTTGACCTACTGAATGTGCTATTTTGTAGTACTAAAGTGATAGTCAAAATATTCAGTCCATACATTTTGTTGAAAAATACTGCATGATAGCTCAGAAAGCAAGAAATGATACTTCTCTTTAGTCATTGATTTGACAGTCAAATGACTGTCCTAACTTGCATTTAACTCAACTTAGTGATTATATGGTGGTTGTCATTGGAATCTTGGTTGATCCTTGTAGCTGTAATGCTTCTCCTCCTTATTCATAATCACTTCATTACTTGATAGGGTCAAGCATTGGATCATATATATTCATCACCAGGAAGAGCATTGTCTGTCCCTGAACAAATTATTCCAGACAGTGACACACCTGAAATATTTTGGAAATGGTCTAGACCTTCATTGGTAGTATTCTTAAACATTAATGAAATATCTGTTTGTATAAGCCTCTACCCTATGGATTCTCAGTCTTCACTTGCCTAGAGAGTCTTGTATGTTGGAAGTGTGGTGGAGTAGTTTGATGCTGTAAGCCCTTATCTCAAAAAACAACTTCCTATCCTCAATGTCACATCATTCTATTCACTCAGACACTTGCTTTTTATAGTCTTCAATCTACAGCTTACTGTATCAGGCTGAAGACACACTGGTTTAAACTGATACCCTGAAACTAATAACAAAAACATGTCACACAAGGTCAGCAAATGACACGAGAGTAGGTAATTGAATTTGCAGATTTTCTGTGCATTTAATTTCTTGGCTCGAGAAATAGGACTTCTACTAATTAGGCACTAATTAAGCTAAGCAATTAATCCCAGCTTGGCTAAATGTAGGCCCTTCAATTTATGTTGGTATTTTAAGGAGAGCATTAAGTTTAAGTAACATTCTGACTTTGACGGTAGATATACAGCAAGTTAATGGTTGTATAAACCTTAAGTTAGTGTAGTATGTAATGAGCTTAAATGATATGAATCATGTTTACTCATGCATGCTCTTGTTAATGGAAATTAAAGTACTTTGTAAAGTGGTATAGTCTTTTAGGTTTATTTGAATGAGAGAAAATGTAAAATTTATTAAATCTGTGTGCACTTGCTACCATAGTTATTTTTAACACTGCCCATATCTGGAACTTGCTTGTGTTGGTCAGAAAACAAAGGACCAATTGGTTTTTTGGTTTTCTTTTTTGAGCAATATCATTGATCAAAAAGATGATGATTTAGCCTATTTTTAGCTTTAGTGGAGCACTGACTATTCTAAATTGATGGAATAAAATTGCTGACTACTGCTTTGATGACTGTAACAAAAATTGTAGTTCTGGTTCGAACTGGAACATTTATCTTGCAAATGTAAAAGGCCCAGATGTTCAAAATGCTAAATTGTGGTTATGTGATAGATTATCAATTTACACTAAATTGAGTTGTAGATGTGGGGAAAAAGCAGCCATAAAATTAGAATAAAACTACCACAGTCAAATTAAAATAATAATATTGTGAATAGCAATGATGAAATTGTACATGATGAAAATGATGATATGGATTTGATTTATTGTGATGTTTCGGACTTAATTTAAGATAGTGATGATGACAAAGAAAATGAATACATCATGAAGGAATGCAAAAACATATATGATATCAGAGATGTTTTTAGAAGAAATGCTTTTTTAATGAGAAATTTACCAATTAGAGAATAGTGAAAATGAATCCTTTAATTATATTGATAAAGTAAAGCGTATAATTACTTTTAGCATTTCAGTAGTAAAGAAAATATGCTATGTTATCTCAACCAATGATGCAAACCAGTTATTGTTTAATATAAGAAAAAAAAAATTGTAAAAGATAGCAGAGAACCCAAAGAAACCATATCCAATAACAATTTAAAGAAAAATGTAATTAAAGTACAGTCAAAACTTCTGTTGCATATCTCTTCAGTAAAGGGTGTTATTAGCTCCTTTGTATGCTTCACTAGAGAATGGCAAAATTTTTGTTTGTGTAAAATAGACTACCTGCTGCTATACCTTGATACAGTATTTTGTAAATGGCTTCCAAAGGAAACTGTTTACAGTTCTATTTATCTAACATTTCAATATGTAGCTAATATTTGTTGATGCATTGATTTTTATATAACCATATCTTCATCTTTGCTTAATATTTTACTCTAAAAAAAAATCTGGAATCCTTATCATCAGTAGTTTTGCTTAGTGTAATTTCCACAATCAAATTCCAAGATCGATTTTTTGGGAGCTCCTACCCTTAGTATAAAATGTTTCCCAATTTGCCCATATGATAGGTGTTAACAACAACAAAAAAATCATTTGTCAGAAAAACTTCATGAAACCTAGTGATATGAAAACACTTCTCTCCCAAATTTCCTGTACTTTTATGATTCTTCTCTTGTGTGGATCATGGTAAAATGTTTGGCATAGTTTTCATATTCTGTATAAATGTTAAAAACAATCATAGTGCTTTTTTTACTTATATATAACTAAAATTAAAATCTAAAATTATTTGAAATTTGGGTGATAGTGATCATAAAATCATATTGAATTCTTTCAGCTGTATGTAATGTGCTGTATTGACTTATATATATTTTATCTTAAAAAAATACAGGAATTTCATAGAAAATACATCTTTTCACACGCAGCTTTTTTAAAACTGTAGCTTGCATCATACATAGGGATGTTTCATTATATCTGTTAATGGAATAATAATTATTTATTATCAAACTATAAATCAGTATATTCTTACTACATTGACCATGTTTTTAGTTTATGAGGTCTTTAGTAAATAAATAGAACAGTACACTTATGTTAACTTGATAATGTGAACCTGTTTTATACAATAATAAAAATAGAGCTATTTTCAAATATTAATAGAATTATAAAATGAATTTGTTTATGTCTCAAATGCATATTATAATACAGTGAAACATTAAGCAGGAAATCTCATGCTTTATGAATTTATATGCTAAAGTAGTGGTTGAATACATAAAATTAAGTGTATTTTAGTAATATTAGTAATGGCAATATGATGTGAAATTGGTAGATCTGAATGCATGAGGCATGTGAAAATATGAATTACTGTACCATTATGTAAAATTTGATTTTAAGATACTTAAAACACTGTTATACACTGTATGTTTTTTTTAAATACACCATAGTTCTTTCTAATTATTAATAGTAGTTCATAAGACTTTGTTATCTTAATTAGTGTTCTATACTTGCTGTACCGTACCATCCGCCCTTGGTCCGGTACCAGCAGATCATATATATTCTATCACCAGGAAGA